CCCTAAACCCTAAATCCTTAAACCTAAACCCTGAGCTCTAAGCCCTAAGAAGCAGCCCTTAGAGCCTGAAGCCCCTAAACCCATACTTCTTCTTGTATATGGGAGGAGCTCGGCACCTGGATTTGAGAAGACAAGTCTTCTATCCTGGCTGCCAACTGCTGGAAGGATCCCACGGCAAGATCGTAGAGATCTTCCTGGAGGTGCATTGCCTGCATGTTACAAACAAGGTCAGCGGTCTAGGGATGAAAAAACCATGGTTTCGGATTTTAAGGATGTGGGTGCTGGAGCCTGGTGTTCGAGGGAGTGGGTTCTTACGGATTTTTCAAGGGTGTTGGGGACTACTGAGCCCCTGAACCCTAAGCCCTAAACCTGAAATCCTAAACCCTGAGCCGTTGCCTGCAGCATGTTATACTTGATGAAGCGGGGGGCCGTCTTGGAGTCATGTGCCCACCGGGACCTGGGATGTTCGGTGACCCCACATGGGTTTAGGGAGGCTTAGGGTTTAGGGCCAAAGTTTGGGGTGTAGGGAGGCTGAGGGTTTAGTGTTCTAAAGTGTAGGGAGGCTTAGGTTTAGGGTTGTAGGGTGTTGTAGGGTGAGTAGCGATTCTTGGGGTTTCGCGAGACTGAATCGGAGTTTCTTGGACTTGTGGAAGCCTCTCTGCCAGGCTGTAGGTAGGGACGCCCTAATCTTGCTAAACTCCCATACAGCAAAATTCTAGGACTACGACTGTGACTATTACTACTTCTACTACTACTACTACTACTAGTACTAGAAGTATTACAATTACTATTAGAGTCCCGATAGCCCCAAACAGAACAGCAAAACAAAAAACGTATCACCGACGCACGCCCTGGCACAGGGGGCCGATGAACTCTGACACCTCGATGGTTCCAGACTGATCTTGGTCTATCATGTGGAAGAGCTGCTCTAGGTCTTGCTCGTCGATATCCTCTTCAGGGTTTCGGGTTTAGGGTAGAGCGTCAATATTCTCGCTGCTTTTTGCATCGGAACATTTCTGAGTCGGCTGGTCGGGAAAGACTTACTTCAGTCGTACTTGCAGGCGACATGCGCTTGCTGTTAATTATGTCTCCCAATCTGTAATAAGGTCTGTTCTCGGTAATATGGGATACTGCAGGCGGGTGTGTGGGGGGCTCAAGATCAGTATCGGGGCATTACTGAAGTTGTGCTTACGACGTTACCCTAAACCCCCAATCCTGAACCCTAAGCCCCAAAATCCTGAACCCTGAACCCTAATTAAGCCCTAAACCCTAAGCCCCCTACCCTACTTATGAGCGCCTAAACCCTAAAACCCCTACACCCCTAAACCCCTAAATCCTAAACCTTTAACAACTCAGAGTCTATACTCAAATTGCTAAGCCCCGTGTTCGTTTCACCCCAGCATCCATGACGCGGAGGCGGCTTTGAAAATCTTGGTCGCTACGGGCTCCTTCAATGAGTTCCTGCATAGATGGTTGAAGAGTTTAAGGCTTTGAAGTTTAGGGTTTGTACGATTTAAGGCTTTAGGAGTTCAGGGTCTAGAAGTTTAAGGCCTAGGAGGCATTTCAGGGTTTCTGGTATCGGCCATTTTCGAAGGATATATATATAT